GCGACGCTGTCTTCAAGGAAGTGACTAGCCGGGGAGCTACCTGCGCAACAAGGATGGAATTCTGCTTTCTGGCCCTCCTCGACGGCCCCCAAGGACCAACAAGACTGCCAGTGCGACCACATGTCTAGGAATCGGGGTGCGACACCGGTCTCATTGGAGTGCACGTGCGTCAGAAGAGCACGGAGCTCTGCTCAGCCTCGTCTTGCGTGCACCAAGGAGGCTGCGTGCTTTGCGTCCCTTCAGTGTGCTGCTGGACGACCGACGTGAGCCGCCTCTTGTATGTACCGAGTGACGCCGGGGCTACAGCGGCTCGGCAACTCGCTGGACCTGCGGGAGTTACGTGAGCAAAGGCGACACGACCTGTGAAAGGGTGCACAAGAGCATCCCGAAGCTTCCGCCCAGAGAGAGTGCGACGCTGTCTTCAAGGAAGTGACTAGCTGGGGAACTACCTGCGCAACAAGGATGGAATTCTGCTTTCAGGCACTCCTCGACGGCCCCCAAGGACCAACAAGACTGCCAGTGCGACCACATGTCTAGGAATCGGGGTGCGACACCGGTCTCATTGGAGTGCACATGTGCGTCAGAAGAGCTTGGAGCTCTGCTCAGCCTCGTCTTGCGTGCACCAGGGAGGCTGCGAGCTTTGCGTCCCTCCAGTGTGCTGCTGGACGACCGACGTGAGCCGCCTCTTGCATGTACCGAGCGACGCCGGGGCTGCAGTGGCTCGGCAACTCGCTGGACCTGCGGGAGTTACGTGAGCAAAGGCGACACGACCTGCAAATGGGTGCACAAGAGCATCCTGAAGCTTGCGTCCAGAGAGAGTGCGACGCTGTCTTCAAGGAAGTGACTAGCCGAGGAGCTACCTGCGCAACAAGGATGGAATTCTGCTTTCTGGCACTCCTCGACGGCCCCCAAGGACCAACAAGACTGCCAGCGCGACCACATGTCTAGGAATCGGGGTGCGACACCGGTCTCATTGGAGTGCACATGTGCGTCAGAAGAGCTTGGAGCTCTGCTCAGCCTCGTCTTGCAAGCACCAAGGAGGCTGCGAGTTTTGCGTCCCTTCAGTGTGCTGCTGGACGACCGACGTGAGCCGCCTCTTGTATGTACCGAGCGAGGCCGGGGCTACAGCGGCTCGGCAACTCGCTGGACCTGCGGGAGTTACGTGAGCAAAGGCGACACGACCTGTGAAAGGGTGCACAAGAGCATCCCGAAGCTTCCGCCCAGAGAGAGTGCGATGCTGTCTTCAAGGAAGTGACTAGCTGGGGAACTACTTGTGCAACAAGGATGGAATTCTGCTTTCTGGCCCTCCTCGACGGCCCCCAAGGACCAACAAGACTGCCAGTGCGACCACATGTGTAGGAATCGGGGTGCGACACCGGTCTCATCGGAGTGCACATGTGCGTCAGAAGAGCTTGGAGCTCTGCTCAGCCTCGTCTTGCGTGCACCAAGGAGGCTGCGAGCTTTGCGTCCCTTCAGTGTGCTGCTGGACGACCGACGTGAGCCGCCTCTTGTATGTACCGAGCGACGCCGGGGCTACAGCGGCTCGGCAACTCGCTGGACCTGCGGGAGTTACGTGAGCAAAGGCGACACGACCTGTGAAAGGGTGCACAAGAGCATCCCGAAGCTTCCGCCCAGAGAGAGTGCGACGCTGTCTTCAAGGAAGTGACTAGCTGGGGAACTACCTGCGCAACAAGGATGGAATTCTGCTTTCTGGCCCTCCTCGACGGCCCCCAAGGACCAACAAGACTGCCAGTGCGACCACATCTCTAGGAATCGGGGTGCGACACCGGTCTCATTGGAGTGCACATGTGCGTCAGAAGAGCTTGGAGCTCTGCTCAGCCTCGTCTTGCAAGCACCAAGGAGGCTGCGAGTTTTGCGTCCCTTCAGTGTGCTGCTGGACGACCGACGTGAGCCGCCTCTTGTATGTACCGAGCGACGCCGGGGCTACAGCGGCTCGGCAACTCGCTGGACCTGCGGGAGTTACGTGAGCAAAGGCGACACGACCTGTGAAAGGGTGCACAAGAGCATCCCGAAGCTTCCGCCCAGAGAGAGTGCGACGCTGTCTTCAAGGAAGTGACTAGCTGGGGAACTACCTGCGCAACAAGGATGGAATTCTGCTTTCTGGCCCTCCTCGACGGCCCCCAAGGACCAACAAGACTGCCAGTGCGACCACATGTCTAGGAATCGGGGTGCGACACCGGTCTCATTGGAGTGCACATGTGCGTCAGAAGAGCTTGGAGCTCTGCTCAGCCTCGTCTTGCGTGCACCAAGGAGGCTGCGAGCTTTGCGTCCCTCCAGTGTGCTGCTGGACGACCGACGTGAGCCGCCTCTTGTATGTACCGAGCGACGCCGGGGCTGCAGTGGCTCGGCAACTCGCTGGACCTGCGGGAGTTACGTGAGCAAAAGCGACACGACCTGCAAATGGGTGCACAAGAGCATCCTGAAGCTTGCTTCCAGAGAGAGTGCGACGCTGTCTTCAAGGAAGTGACTAGCCGGGGAGCTACCTGCGCAACAAGGATGGAATTCTGCTTTCTGGCACTCCTCGACGGCCCCCAAGGACCAACAAGACTGCACGCGCGACCACATGTCTAGGAATCGGGGTGCGACACCGGTCTCATTGGAGTGCACATGTGTGTCAGAAGAGCTTGGAGCTCTGCTCAGCCTCGTCTTGCGTGCACCAAGGAGGCTGCGAGCTTTGCGTCCCTTCAGTGTGCTGCTGGACGACCGACGTGAGCCGCCTCTTGTATGTACCGAGCGACGCCGGGGCTACAGCGGCTCGGCAACTCGCTGGACCAGCGGGAGTTACGTGAGCAAAGGCGACACGACCTGTGAAAGGGTGCACAAGAGCATCCCGAAGCTTCCGCCCAGAGAGAGTGCGACGCCGTCTTCAAGGAAGTGACTAGCTGGGGAACTACCTGCGCAACAAGGATGGAATTCTGCTTTCTGGCCCTCCTCGACGGCCCCCAAGGACCAACAAGACTGCCAGTGCGACCACATCTCTAGGAATCGGGGTGCGACACCGGTCTCATTGGAGTGCACATGTGCGTCAGAAGAGCTTGGAGCTCTGCTCAGCCTCGTCTTGCAAGCACCAAGGAGGCTGCGAGTTTTGCGTCCCTTCAGTGTGCTGCTGGACGACCGACGTGAGCCGCCTCTTGTATGTACCGAGCAACGCCGGGGCTGCAGTGGCTCGGCAACTCGCTGGACCTGCGGGAGTTACGTGAGGAAAGGCGACACGACCTGCGAATGGGTGCACAAGGGCGGAGGGGTCCCGCAAAGCTTGCTTTATGAAAGAGTGAAACATAGTCTTCAAGCGCATGCCTAGCTTTGGAACTACCTGCGCAACGGGAATGGAATTCTGCTGTCTGAGTATAATAAAGTGACTTGCGCACTGAACGTGACCCTATTCACTACTATTATCAGGCGCTGTGTCTAAAGATACCTTTAGACACAGCGCCTATTATCAGGCGCTGTGGTACCTTTGATGCAAAATCTAAAGATACGTCAGACGTACCCAGGACGCGGAGTCTGTGTGGGGTGTCCTAGCGTGAGCAGTCGGACTGCGGCCGGACGCTCCCGCTGGTGTATTTACAGCAGTCCGAAAGCGTTCCACGCTTGCGTCTTATCGACCTTGCATAAGTGGCTGGCAGCCGCTTGGCCTGGCTGCCGTGATACACGGGCGTGTGCCTGTCGTGTGTAAAAGCGCGTGGAGTGCCAAGAAAATCAAACATTGTGTCTAACAAACTACTGATTTCAAATTCCCCGACTTTTCCAAGTTTTTCCCTGACTATTTTGATCAAATTCCTCAAGTTTTTGAGCCGAAGGATGACATTTCGGCAATGTCATTCAGCATGGCCGTGCCGACGAGCAACCGCCATGCCGCTTTCACTAGTCGTCTTCCTTTATTTAGCCCACTTTTTGAATGATTCCCTGACTTTCCCGGATGATCCGAAATTCCCTGAGAGTTCAAGGCTTTCCAGGTTGGCAGACACCTTTTGGAAGTTCGGCACGCGTTTGCGGGGTTTAGTGATCGGGAAGCTGCTCGGAAACAACATAACTATAAGAGAAGCTGGTACAGTACTGCTTACACGACTGTCGCCCCTTCACAGAATGCACACGGCTGGCGGCCGGGAGTTGCCGTCCGCCCGGAGTGACCGCCGTCGGTCTTTTTCACGTCACTACGGATCACATAGTGACGTGGTCCGTAGTTAGCTCAGCACCGAGCAGTTCGGAGATTCCAACACTTCTCTCGCTGCTTCAAATGCGAATCTTGACCGTCGAGCTAAGAAAATTGCCCGGGCACGTCCGCCGTACCGTTAGAACTCCGCGTTCTAATTACGTCTTACATACCTTTAGACTCCGCGTTCCGGATGGGTTCGACGTATCCTTCGACACAGCGATTATCGAGGAGCTCCTGTGGTTAACGATTGCGGATGTTTTAATTACACTCGAACGACCGAGCGATGTCCGAGGTAGTGATCCGAGCCCGTACGAGAAGCACGGGACCGAATCTGGCTTACTCTGAATTAAATAAAAAAGAAAAGCCTCGTTCCCTCGTACTTCACGTTATTCCTACGCGGGAGAGCACACAAACCCCTGAAAAACGGAATTCCGCACACGAAATCCACACACTCCGATCAACGTCCACAACGCTTCCGACACGCACTGGGCGCTGCCATCTTAACGTTGACGCCAGAGATTTGGTCTGGTTACGTCATAGGTTTGGCCTGGTCACGTGTCTAGTGGTCAAAATTGTACAACATGGCGGCGGCCAATCGGGGGTCACTTTTGCCTGATGAACGGTATACTAGTTTATCACTCTAAGGCCCTCTACCTCGTTGGTGCTTTGGTTTGTTACATCGTAGTAAAAATAAACAATTAAAATTCTTGATGGTAAATCTTATACTTAATAGGTACATAGTATGCACAGTAACAATAAATATTGCTTTACCTAAATTATTTTAGTTTTACAATTTAAAAACTCTTTCTGTTCTGAATTCATTATCGGCATCGGCACTCACGTCATTTTGCGTGTTTTGTTGTTAGCTTGGTTATGGCGTTTTATTTCTTTGTCGCTTTCTTTTTTCTTTTTGCGTGTGTGCCGTGCAGCAATTCATCCGTATTCATTTGCCCATCCGCAGGAGTTCGCGGAAGTGGCCCGATGGATTAAGTGCATTACCGTGGAATTGACTACGCACAATGCTTGAGAAGTGACGTGCAAAGCCATGTAAGTTCCTTCCAACGCCACTGCCTTCAGGGAGATCTAACGTTATGTTGACAACTTCCAAGCGACGCACTGGTCCGTGCATGCAGCCGTTTTCGCGACGGCGTGCGTGCGATCGACACCGCAGGCCCCATCCAACGGAAGCCTGAATGCCCCGTACTAAATATTGGAAATTGGCACGCGTTAAACACCGACTGCATCTTGTACGCGCATCTGACATCGAGCTTTCGACGTTGTCTCGGCTGTCATCTTTCCCCGCGTACGGGTAAAGCGATCGCCAGCGCGTCTCTCTTCGCCCAGGTTGGGACCGCATCGAGCGTTATTTAAACCCGATTAGTCGTTGGACATAACGTTGTCATAGGCTTACTTATGATATCCGAGTCCCGTGCCTGATAAATGCGCTAAGTCTGTGTTTCGGTGGGGTGTTGTTGTCGTTGGGTGGGGGCGTACTGTACTACGGCTGGGCGGTGTGAGTGAAAAGAAGCGAACAAATCCGTGCGCCGTGCTGCCAAGGCAACGTATGGGAGAGATATCCGATATGAGTGGCCGTGTCGCGCTTCCCTTTAAAGGACACATGCAAAGGAAAAAAACATTTTTTTTAAACGGCTTAGATGGAAAAAGGACGCCATAAAACGATTTTACAACGAAGAAAAAAATTTTTTAGAGCTATATTTACGGCGCAAAACGAATTTGTAGTTGGCGCCCGCGGGCACCGCGGAAAAGTGGTCTGTATTTATCACGTGACTGGTCTTTATGTATCACGTGGTGCTTGCGTTCTTTCGGAAGCTTCCTATGGCCTCTAACAGTAACTTATTTATCTTTGTTTGAAGTAAAACAAAAAACTAAGATGAATAAGTAACTTTTAGAGCCCAAAGGAAACTCCTGAAAAAGCGCAAGCAGACGTGATAGACCTGTGCGCCGGTCAGACGACGGCGGCGGCGCCCCGAAGCAGACGAACTTGTGCGGCGGCGGCGACGGCGGCTTGGAGAAACGCGTTGAAGCGGCGTTCGCACAACGCTCAGCGTGCGGCGGCGACGCAGCGCGGCGGCGCGCGGGCCTACCACGTGACCAGCGGCGGCTCCCGCGAGCGCCAACTACAAATTCGTATAGCGCCGTAAATATAGCTCTAAAAATTTTTTTTCTTCGTTGTAAAATCGTTTTATGACATCCTTTTTCCATCTAAGCTGTCTAAAAAAAAATTTTTTTTCCTTTGCATGTGTCCTTTAATCTGGCGTGTTTACGGAGTGGCCCCTGCCGCTGCGCCCGTTCTTTGCGAGAAGATGCTGCCATGCCGACCGCTGCTCCGTTTTGCCCTCAACTGGGGCTTTTTTTTTTTTTTCTCGTAAAAAAGTAAATAAATTACAACAACAAGGAAAAAAAAAAACTTATCTTCCAAGTCTGTTTCTTTTGTGTGGTAGAGGAACTGCCAGGTGCTTATCAGAGCGTTGAAACAAGTTTCTTGGTTGTTTATTTTGAGCTGTGTGGGCAATTTTTTGTGGGCGTAAAACAAAACAACAAACTGCCTAAACTTGTTTAGAAGATTCGCGTGGGGCTCTATGTTTCCCAAAACGTGCTCTTCTTTTATTTTTTTTTTTTTTGTATGTCTTTTGTTTGCTTTTGGTTGAGGACTAAGAAGTCGTTCAAGCATTTTGTGCGCGCGTGCTTGTGTGGGTGTGCTTTTCGGAGGGCAGTTCCGTCTTGGTCGCGAGTTTGACCGCTTCCTCCACCGTAAACGTGACCGGCTTGTTAAGGGGCAGAGCACCTTCTTTCATGAGTCGAGCCGCTGGCGGCTGCTTTGCAAATCGTGTTGGGTTTCTCCTTTCACGATCCTCCGTTTGCTTTGTTTGTACGAATCTAAGTTCAATTAGTGGGGCAGTCACCGGAAGAGCGGCAGTACTTTAGGGTTTTAAGGCTAGCTTTTTAGATCATCAGCAACTCCTGTTTTGCAGATGTAACATATGTCTACTTATGAGCAGGGTGCCTGAGCAGAACGTTTTCAACTTCGCCTTAAAGGAGAATGCCAGCACATGTCGCGTAGTTTCTCACAAAGAGATAGTTTATTGATCAGTCCGAAGTGTCGAGTCCCCTAACTCAATCATGTTTCATTATTACGGACACCCCCCTTCCCCAAAAAATATTTCATTGTGTGCGTCTTCCATAATGACGAAACAAAGATGCATACATTGACCCAGTTCATCCCCGAAAGTTTTGTATTGTATTGTATTTTATTTTATTGCACTTTTCTTACACAGCCTATAAAACAACTCAACCCTCCGACGTCAGTCCACTGTGGTGGCGCTGCTGTTGGCACTGCGCACGCGCAGACACTTTATGTGGTACAATATTGATTCCTGTGCACGTGCAGGGTTCACATTCCATCTGGGAAAACACTGATGTGTTTGTAAACAGCGTTTTAGTGTACATAGTGGGGCATCCATATTAATGAGGTATGTGCTACGACCGAGTCCCACTAGAACGACAAACAGAAACCAACATCGACAAGACTCAAATTGTGCAGCGTGCATGTGAAGGACCTTTGTCAGGTTTGCAATCACTTGTGCTTACCTCATGTGCGCCGAGAGATTGCAAGACCGCCAAAGGTAGCATTGTGTGCATACCGCATGTGAATGGAGCCTTGTTGGTGTCGGTTGCTTCTGTTTTTCGCTCTAGTGGGACTCGGTCATTAGTGAGACATGACTGTGTTTGTTGAGACACGTGTCGCATACGCTAAACAGAGGCACCATTTTATTATTCACTCATTCTTTCGTGGCCACATGTGAGCGGTGCTTTTGCGTCTTGGCCATTTGACATGGTCGTGATCATTAAAGGGGCACTGCCAGGACATTTTTACTGGTTTTTAATTTGCACCGAACCTGAGCACAACGAACGTAGTAACTTGATGAAACTTTTCTTTTCTCAAATTTCGCTTTATTTTAAAAGTTATGGGCAAATTAAAATTACAAAAACAAGCAAAAATTAACCTCCTTCAGGACATCCTTGGTTGCTTGAGTGGCCGTGAACTAGAGGAGGGGTAGTGAGCTCAGCAAGCATTCACGGCTGCCGCACTTCGTGTTGATGGCTCGAGAGGGCGTCACTAAAGCATGTTTTGGATAGGCTGTATGAAGCGGGCAGCCAGGGCGGCTCGCATTACATTTGCTGCGCAATTAAACACTAATTCGGCATGAAACTTCATTGGCCAGAAATGACAGCAAATACGGGGTAAATATCAGTTCAGAACGGGAGCCACTTCGCGCTGCCATACCGCCAAACTGCAAGCCAAAGGTGCTCGCCGAAGGCCTTTGGAACGCTCGGAGCCGGTCGGATCCTTGAGCCCGTATACACCGCAGCGCCGCCGCATACATCCGGGACCTTTCTATTCTCGCCACTCACCGATGCCTGATCCCAGTACCCCTTTCTATTATGCGCCACCTTTTCCACCACTTGGTGTTGGGTATGTCGACGGGTCATTTCTTGTTTCCGTACTTTTTAAACTGCATTTGTTTCTTTTTTGATCTAAAATACTGAACAAAAACTACTTTCATAAATAATTGAAACGGTTTGCACCACTTATATTTTGTATTTCGACTAAAAAGAAGCTTTTAGCGGCTCTGACCAATAGTAAGCCCAGGACCAAAGACCTCACATACTGCGCGCTTTTGGCACCGCGGGTCGCCCCCGTAGGTGGAGGAGATTTCTGCGTCGTCCGGTTGAAATATGATGCACTGATATTTTATTACTACTCCCTCCGTGCCCGCTGGCTTGCTTGAACCCCAAGAGACGTGGAAACCGCAAAAAAGGTAGATGCTTAAATATGATTGCAGGGCCCCTTTAAAGGGATACTACGATGAAATTTCGGCACTTATTTTTTGGTCTATATGTGTTCAAAGGAGCAGTATCACATCGAGCACACCAATATCTTGTTAAAAAAGTCACGAAAAGGAATTTTAAAACGAATTAAACGGTTAGCAAAGAGCACCTGGTGGTTGTCGCAAACGCCTCGTTTGTAATGCCCATCTAGGAACCTTGAGAGGTAGTGGTGGTAACTGTCTCAACTCCGGCCATGGTGAGAGAAGAGAGGAAGGAGAAACTCCCCCCTTCCCAGGAATCTCTTTTGTGTGTCTCAGAAGTCGCTATTGTCCTTCTACAAGATTATAGAATATTAATCCGTCACTCAAAATTCATACAAAAGCAGCCTTAGGTTGCTGGAACAACTAGGCCACCCTCTCGACGTCAGCCTTGCCATAGGTTTCCTCGTCTTGAGACAAACTATGTCACGATTGCGTTGGATGTCACGTGTCCTCCACTAACTGTTCTCCAACCGCTTGCCAGAGTGGGCCGTTTATAACGAAAAATGCAGCCATTAGGCTCAAAATACAAATGTGTGATTGTCATTTACAGATATTGTGGATCATATTCAACCTATTTTTCAACACGACGGGTATATTTCAAATTTCGTTGAAGAATCCCTTTAAGTCTGAGACAAATATACCTGGTTTCATCATTTTACTGTTCACCAGATGAGAAGAAATATTATTTTTCTGGTTGAATATATTTTTCATTCAACAGTATCTTCCAGAAAGAAGAAACTGCAATGTGCCATGTTTTGTCTTTGTTTTATTTTGTGGGTGATTCTATAGTTTACCAATTATGTGGGGCAGTCCTATGCGTGGTACTCCTTTTTATGACAAATATTACGCTGATGTACAAAGAGCACTGCGACCTGATCGGGAAAAGAATTGTATCCTTGCCCCTGCTCAATGTAAAAGAATGTGGAAACATGTTCATAAATAGCTGGAAAACCACTGAGAGAGACTTTAAAGGCTTTTGAAAGGCTGATTGCTCTCATAAGCGGGTACCAGCTCTTGTTACGAATAAGGTAAAACAGAAAATAATGCCTGTGGCTTTTATTGTACGAACAATCTCATTGCTCATCCACACTAGTATATTATTGCCAGCTTGTTCAAAGACTTGTCCCATTTTGTGTTCAGAAATTTTAATAGGTT